GTCCGCCTCACCAAAGACCACTTCATCGAGCGCTTCGCCCCGGGCCCGCCCGCGCCGACCGGGCCCGGGTCCGCCTCGGCGGCCGCCCAGCTCACCCTCAGCCAGCCCTATGCCGCCCAGCCTTACAACATCCTCTCCGTCTTCCCGGACAGGGTGAACTACTGCCAGCACCACGACGACGAGGTAAGGCTCCCGCTTCCTCAGCAGCGCCTTGGGAGTGTGAGGGGAGCCCGTTGCAACCGGGCGGTGGGCGTCGAGGACGAGGGAAAGAGGCCATGGTGGGGGTGTTTTCGAGGCCATTCGCGTAATCCTGGCTTCCTCCTTCGGTATGGGGGGTGGGGACCGGAGGGAGGGAAGAATGGAGTCGTAACAACAACAACAACGTTTTGGTCGGGAGGATTGAAGTAAGAAGGCTTTGAGCGCGTGAGGAGAGGTTCCGGTCCCCGCCCTACGTTTTAAGGGCCGGAACTTTTGGTGCTTCTTGTATTTGGCAGTATTTTTTTTTTAAAAAGTTGCAAAACAGCGAACCTTTTTTTGGCTCCTTCATGTGTAGGCACAAGCATCTTGCTTGGATCACACACACCCGCCCCGAAATAAGGCATGCTAACTTTTTAGGGTTCCATCTGTGGGACCCGTGTTCTGCCTCGTGGGATGATGATCTGGATTAAAGGGCAGGGCGATTGAAAAGGGCATTTAAACGCTTGTCGTCTTCCTTAAGCTTACTGTTGGTTTGTGGAACTTCATCTGGTAATTTAGAAGTATTCTGCTTTTCCACTTGTGCGTAAATTAATCTGCATTTTGATCATGAGGATGCTTTGAGGAAAATGCAAGAGGAAGAAACGACACATCACTCTGATCCTCGTTGTGGTTTTGGAAAGGTGCTTTTAAAGACACACACTAGGATGTTCTCCCACAGCAGTTTCTCCAGTATTCTGGTGCAGCTACTGCAAAATAAAGGACTTCTGTTTTCGTAAAGTGAGGTTATGTAAGGAACTTCTGAAACCCTTGACTTTTTATCATTTTGTGTCTTCCATGTAACATTTTCTCATCTTGATAAGCTGATGGTTCTTGTACCATGTGTGGAGTATTTTAAAATTGACACAGATGAATTTATTTTTGATGAATTGTCATGTTGTCTTTCTCATCCCCAATATTTATAGGAATAGACTTTCCTTTCTAGGACATCTGCCACCCTTCATTCCTTCCCTAAAACAGTTTCAGGGGGCCCTGGTTCCAGTTCTTACTTCCCTCTTCCCTTGCATGCTTTGTTCACGTGGAGCTGTCCATGCTTAACCAGAGCAAACCAAATCTCCACAATGCGCTCCGCTGCAGAGTAGCAGAGTTCTTGCATGTGCTGTGGGGGGGGGATGCTTGGAGTTGTTAAAAACAACACCTGGGGGGGAGGGGATTCTGAAAATCAGCTGTATACCTTCCATTTGGCAATTCTGACGATTGTAGTCTACAGCCACAGAATGCAGCATCTTCTTTGCTGCCTGTTCTGACAAATCTGATGGCCTCATGGAGGTAGCTGTGTTAGTCTGTTTCAGGCTGTGTAACAAGACCCTAGTATCGTGGGTCATTTAAGACTAGCAAATTTTATTGAATTGTGAGATGTACATCTGAGGAAGTAGATGATAACCCACAAAAAAACACAGTGAAATGGATCTATCACTTTTAAAGGTGCCATGACAATTTTGGAGGGTTTTTTTTGTTTTTGCTGTGTTTTGTTTCTGTTAGATGTGGTGATTTCATGGTTGTTTCTAGCATTTCCTGAGACCAGATGGGCAGCTAAACTGGGGAGGTCCCCTTCCTTGAATTTAGTGGCTTACAATAAAGAAGTTGCTAAAAATTCACACCCTGCTTGCTGCTGCTGATCCTTACTGTATAAATACTCTATAGTACACATTATGGATGGAGCATAACCTCTTAGGGCATGGGATTGGGAGATAGTCCAGTCATTCTCCTTTTTGTGAAGGGATGTGGTAAACAAATGTACTAATTTGATTTGCAGAAACTTTCCAGGACTTAATTTAAACCAGGGCTGAGGAGTAGAAGTTTATGGATGACTGTGTCTCTGAGAGTATGTGGAGTTCTTTTTTCTTAATACTACAGATCAGTTGTTCACATGTAGGATTAGAGAGAGTCTTCTGTTCTCCTTTTTTTTTAAATGAAAGCCTTTGCATCTTCTGCTTCAGCTTAGTGTTAAATGTTGGCATGGTTAAAAAATAATCCTGCACAATTCTCTTGTGGTAGTTTGGCATTAGAAAAAGAATAAAGTAATTTAATAACTGTTCTGATTACTTGAAATGCGGAATGGATGAGTTGGGAGAAAATGTGTAAATAAGTTGAGTTGCTGATTCTAAACACTACTTCAAATAGAAGAAAGTTTTTTTCTGGAATTTTTTGTCTCTGTAGGTGCATTTACAGATGCTCAAAACAAATCTATTCTAAAGAGATGGATGGATGACAGAGTATCTGAGATGCTGCTTTTGATAATCTTTCCACAAAAATCATGAATGGCTGATCACAAGGCTTTTGCTGTTCTTCAGGAGGAAACTTACTTTTGTCTTTAACAGTTGATAGAGGGCAAATAGTTTCTATTTGTAGAACAGTGTCTTTAAGAAATTGGAGATTTTTAGCAAGTGATAGAGATGCAAATATCCTCACATTTGAATTCTGGGAAACATTTCATTTGTAGTATGGATTTCCTGTTTTTATAGGTGTGTGATGAATGCATCAAAGGAATACAGGGAAATAAAAGAATTGTTGTATTAGGGAGAGTTTATGTAGTGATTATTACCTTTAGGTTTATGTTCTTTTAGTATTGTATGTGTTTGCAGTTGACTAAGACAGCCACTGATTATTCTAGTTTAATGTATAAATAAAATACTGCAGCACATTGAAACTCCCAAGTTAGTGTAATTCTTTATTACCTTTATTCCTTGAAAGTACTGGCACAAAGGAACATCATACTTGATATTGATCTATATCAGTATATAAAATCAGTTACTCTAACATGCAATAATTATTAGGGAGTTTAATCCTAAAGAATAACATCTAGTTGCAGCTGCGTGGACTGGAAGTTCAACTTGTAAGCTGACATTCCTCTTGATGGTTTGCGTAGTGCCAGAGTGGAATTTTCCATTAGCTTCATTGTTAGAGGCTAGCTTGTTCCCTGCTGAAGTTCTCAGTTGATCCTGACTGGTTTTGAGATAAGATCCATGTCTGAGGCTGAAGGATTCCCTTAACTATTCCTCTGTAAATAGTCTCTTTAGTTTTAAAAAAAAGAACAAAAATGTAATATATTTTTGAAAGGGCTGGTTTCTTTGCTGTTTATTACAGGAGTCAAGCATTGTTCCTGCCAGGAAACTAGTAGCCTTTTTCTGTTTCTTTGTCACCATTTAGAAAAACAAAGAAATTTACTGCCTGAATTTGGTGAATAAAAGGAACCTTTAGAAAGGCTTTCCATGAAGGGTTTGAGGGAATGCAAAAATGTACTCATTAGCTTTTGGCTGTCTCCACTGAACTTTCTAGTGTTTGCCTATTTCTGATCGTCAGAAGGACATTCAGAAATCCAGACCAAAATTAAAAATGGAAGGTGAACTGCTCTCAGAATTGCCCACCTTTGTATGTATGTGTCTTAAGAGTATTGAAATACTGAACACTCTTTATTCCTGTGGCACACAACAGCATTTTCTGTACTGCATAATTCACATTAAATTGGTTAGCTTTAGAGAGGGTTCTGGAAATAATTTTGTTCCTGTAGGTACATTGTCTTTCTTAATTGAATTAGTACCTAGTACAAATTAGTTGCAATTAAACCTTAATGTAGGTTCCAAATAATAGTTAGTGCTTGTGCATGTTGAGTAAATTATACTACTCCTTGTATTGTGTTCATGCTCATATATTTTTTTGCTCCTGTAACATTATACAGTGGTGCCTCGCTTAACGAGCACACCGTACAACGATGAAATTGCATAGCGATCCCTTTTTTGGGATCGCTAATGCGATCGCTCAACGTTTTTTTAATAGGGCAAAATTCGCTTTGCGAAGACTGGTAAGCGTTTTGCTTACCGATCTTCGCAAAACGAAGCCCGACGAGCAGCTGTTAGGCGGCCAAAATGGCTGCCGGAAGCCTGGAAATGGCCCAAAATGGCCGTGTGCAGCGTTTTCGCGCCCTCGTTAAGCGAGAGGAGGGCGCGAAAATGGCTGCCGGCCATTAAGAAGCATCGCTGAACGGTGAGTAGTCGGCCCATTTGGAACGCATTAAACCATGTTTAATGCGCTCCAATGGAATTCCCTGCCCCGTTCAACGATGCTTCAGCATAGCGAAGGTTAATCCGGAACGGATTAACCTCGCTATGCGAGGCACCACTGTAAATTATAATTGAACGGGCAGAGTGTAAAAAAAATTGTATCACTGAATTTTTGGGATAGAGTTGAATGCATTTTGTCTGTGATACTTTTTCTATAGTAGGTTGTGTATAACTGACTAGAAACTCTGTCATTACAACTTGGTTTTAATTTTAGGGTTAGGTTTAATTTAGGAAAGCAACACCACTGAATAAAATGGGAATTACATCCATGCGAAAACATATTGCACTCTTAAAAGAGGAGTCAGACTGTTATACTTTCAGATGTGTTACATGCTGTATATTCTGTAGGGACTTATTGCCACCTTGCATGTTGCCTCTAGTAAGTGTGCCTGGCAGGAACCTTTCTGGGCTGGCATGATGGTCAGGCTGTCCAGCACTAACCAATCATTCCTTCCCTGCTTCTGAATTCAAAGAGAGCCCCACCTCTCTCCTTTTGAGCTCTCTTTCTCTCTCTGTTGTCGGTGGCAGTTAGGAGACGGTTGAGGTCTGTTGCTGAAAAGCAGTCATATTTGCCAGTTTCCCATTTGATCAGTTCAATTGTAAGTAATGCAACCTTTTGTTCTTTCTCTTATTAGTGTCTCGGAGCAAGTTATTGAGACTGTAAGTGTCAGTTGAGGAGAAAAAGGGGTAGACTAATCTGGAGAATTTGAAGCTATTCTGCTGTGTAAATCTCTCCACTTCCGTTACACAGCTAGAGGAATTTACCAGAATCATATTCAAGAATAAATTAAGATTTTTTTAAAAAATATTTTTATTTTTTGCCAGGAAACTGTAGTGACAGTTTTATATGGCATAGATGGCTACAGT